CTTGGTTGTATCATACTGATTACTAAGTAATATCCACACCTTTCCTGATAGGATTTTTTGACTACATGCAGTGCGTCATAGGCTCTAGAGGTAAAATTATTTCCAAAATGCCAAGGCCGCACTGGCGCGGGATGTGTAAAAATGAAACAAAATATTGAAAACGTATTTATATTATATTAGTTGGTTTGTCACTCTACGATCATTTTGTGCACACTTTGGGCTAATTAGACTGGGACCTGCAGTTTAACGTGGATTCCGAACCACTCACAAGCACCCATGCCACCACCAGGATAAGAACCAATGAAAACAAGTTACAAAATATATTATTTTTGTATGATACTTTATTAATAACAATTATATAAAATAATTGAATTATTATCAGTTTGTTCCAATGATAGTACTACTGCAAACCTTGAGGGGGAAGAATTCGTTTTTGTTGTCATAACACACATCCGTCGGGTAGTCGACCTCAGCTGACACATTTGCAATTATGCTAGAGACTTATCAGATTGCATTTTTCCTTTTTTTGGGCTGTTGAAAGCCCTGTACAATTATTGTCTCTACTACTCCTAATGCAAGTTTTTTTTAATAGCTAATAAATGTATAATTCGTAACTACATGCTTTTACAACTAGCTTCTAACTAATGCTCCACGCCAATACCAGAAGGCATTTGACATATAGCTTCGATTGAGACGGAGAATGAATGATAAGGTAGAGCTCTTCCAGCGCGAAAGTGTGACTGGCCAATGAGAAAGACTCCACACCACACGCTGGCTGTTCAGCGTTGAAGCCACATCACGTGACGGCGTGAGATTGGCATTCGAAATTGTTAAACCAGCTAGCCCCTTTACAAAGCAAATTAAAAATTTGAGAGAACATGTTTTATAATTTCGCAACTTATGTAATTACAGACAGTTCAAAAAGGCCAGGGAGACGAAAAATCTCTGGAAGTGTCATAAAAGCTGAAATATTTATTAGTTTTGTAATTTAATTTTCAGCTGTAATTGGGTTCAAATGATCAATTCAAAAACCTGACAAATAAAGCCGAAGCAAAGACTTAAATGGGATGTGCACTATAAATCTGTAGATCAGAAAGCCATTCATTAAGCTGAATAGTCACCACGACGTCCTCTCTGGGAGGTGTTCGCTCCCAAATTGCGTATGAACGCTGTATCTGCTACATATTAGGCGCTCCAAATTTTGGCATGATGTCATAATTTGGAAAATAGTAATTGAAAATAACAATCTTTATTTCTGTTTTATGCCAATTGTAAAAAAATACATTTTTGCTAGTTCTAAATAAATCCGAAACAAATTTGACTGAATAATTTTTTCTCAAATGAGATATAATTATCCGATTACCCAACAATTTTCCGTTCAAGTACTGCTTAAAAAATAAAATAAATAAGTAAGTAGAATAACGTTTCTTTGGGAACTAATTTCATGATAATTATTGGAAAATCATATGCGAATTCTGGCAATGTAATCATGCGCAGATTAATGCCATCTGCAATTTGCATAATCTTAATCATTTAAATTACAGATTAACCATTTGTGAATTTTTTTTCTCATTGATATCACGAGACGATGAGAACCCCTTTGGGCTACAGCAACTGTCAATCACTTCTTGTTCTCAACTCACAAATCGATCACAATTACATCTGAGAGACAGCTATCTTCCATGCCACGGCTCATTTGCATTTTCAGCCCCGGGGGTGACTTGGCCGAAGCCTATGCCTAAACTTATGGCAAAATTTTGTTATCCGCGGTGAAATCATGCTATAAATTCTGTACATGAAAAAAAAGTTGTTTTCGTATTAATTTTATGTGATAACCTGTCAGTATATGTTAATGACTTAAAAGCTGTCATAAGCTTGAATGCATTAGTTATGATTTATTAATGTGCTATCCGTTTTAACTTGTTTTTAAGTATTGAAATGTGGATTTACATTTCTCTCAGATTATACGTTGTACGCCTTTCCGTTTAAAGATAAATGTTTCGGGCATATAGAAGTGGGTGGTACAGGGGTACCTCGGTCAACACCTGTATCGAAGTACGTTCGTTTTGTTAGGACAAACAATTTCATTTGGAATACGACTCTTTTTGTGATAACATCATTGGCGAATAAATAGCTGTCAACAACTTTTTCAGATAAAGACCACCCTACTCAATCCCAATCAAGCCCTAATGACATTGTCCAGAATGAACAGACAACGCCGCATTTAAAAACTATCGGCAGGAAAAAAGTTATGTTAACAGACTTTTAGTGAACGTGAAATCTAGCGATTCTTAATTTTGTCCAAGTAAGAAAAAAAAGACCTAAAAAGGAAGATTTAATTTGGTAAATTTTTATCGAGTAGCTTTTGTATTCAGTACTAAGCAATATTTAAATTATTTTATACAACTGAGTTAATTTATAATATGGCAGATTTGCATTTTTACTAAGAATTGAATGAATCCATGGAATTGAATTTATTTAATAATATCGGAAAAATCTGGTTGGATACCTTCTGTTCATGACATTCGAAGATCTGTTTTTTACTCTATTTCTTTTCGGTATTTCGTTTGAATTGTCATTATTGCAAATAGCGCTAGTTATGTTGAAGCCAATGTTGAAATCGCATTCGTTGATGTGCTTACTCCATTTGGATACTAGGTTATCAATCCCATCCACCCATTACCAAGACCTTGTTTTTCAATTCGAATCCAAATGTTCTTTTTCTCATGTCAATTAACAGTTATTGAGCTGCAATTGGAAGATGGTCTATTTTCACATTTTCAGCAAATGGATTCATGCCATGTGCTTCATCATTAGGAAGATCTGTAAATTGATTACGATCATACACACGCAACTGATCGTGAGCCTACGTCTTTGACATTACGTCCCTCCCCAAGTATCACTTCGCGTATCCCCTGGGGTACGCGTACCACACTTTGTAGATCATTATTTCAAACAGCTTTTCACCAGAGATCTACATTTCTGTCCAATGATGAAGGCGATTCGACCTGTCTGAGTGACAGTGCTATTGATTTGCGATTTCACTGACAGAAGAAGACAGACCTCTCCAGCGACATCGAACAAAGGACAAGATAATTACAGCGATAATAACAATAATAATGCGGTCCTGTCAACAATACCAACGTGTCCTTTTATTTTTTTCCGAGCGTGGTCTTTAATTACATTGAAAGGGACATTCCGAAAATGCAGCCTTTCTCTTTCGCTGTTAAAAAGAGAGCCTACTCTTGTTACCAGTAACACAGTCATCGACTTAATGAATACCGTTAAGCTGTGAATTTGTAATGCCTTCCAACTGATGGCATAAGAGGGAACTCTTTCTGAATGACAAGTAAGCTTAATTCGCATTCGACTAATGACATATTCTGCCTGAATTCTAAACAGAAGGGTCATCCTGTTGAATGAGAACTACAGCAGCTTTTATCTTTGGCTGGCTTAAGCCTGCAGCGGGCAAAAATAAGGGAGAGAGAATGTACTTAGAAATAGGGCACTTTACAGTCATCGGAAGATGTACCTTTACCTATCTGATATTCAAGAAGACAACGGAGATGTAATCCTAGAAAGGAAGTCTGAATTGTCTTGGCCTTTTACTAAGGCAGATTTTACCTTTTTGTCAGCCATTTCTTTCTTTTTTTTCGTTTCATTTTTGATTCCACTGTATATCTGATCACTTTTCTTTTGTTGTATCGTTCAAGCATTTTGTCTCTACTCTTTTCACCATTAAGTTATTTTTTTAATCAAGCTTTTTTTTCCTGGTTCTTTTTATGATTTATTAATAATAACTAGTTCATAAGATAGTTAAGAATATTCGTCCAACCTGATGTATAAGTATTTTCTGAATGATTTTTTTATTTTGTTTTACCGAAAAGAAGGCTCCTAAGTAAATTAAATAATGTGTTTTATTGGTAAGAATGTATTTGGTTTCAGAACACATCTTTATACCCTATAATATTGGAAAAATCAATATATTTAAGTGGTTGAAACTGGTTGTTTTTCGGAAGTGTTACCGCTTTCATTCTTATCAAAGAGAATGAATAAGGGACACTTCAAAATCACAATCAGTTTCTATAACAATGCCATGAAAATAGCATTTGCTATACATTTTTAGTTAGCTAATATATATGTGTGTGTGTGTGTGCTTATTAAAGTCCTACATCAGGTTAAGACAAAATAAGATTCGAAACGCAACTTTAATTTATAAAAGAATATTATCTTCAACACTTCGGTAGCTTGGATTTTATTTTATTATTTTGATAATTTAGTTTAGGCTTCTGTTGTTATTTTTTAAGCCTCCTATAACATTTTTAGATCCCTAAGTAAATTAATTTATAAAAGAAAAATCAATATATTTAACTTTCTTGGAATCTGTAATTCTCCTTATAACTTAAATGTGGAATTTTGATGCTTACATACATATATAGACAAATATAAATATATTTACATATAATAGAGAAGAGTGCTGTTATTTTTTTCTTTAAATATACGATTGATAAGCATAAAAATCTGCTAATTTCTTAATTCCGAAATGTAGTAACGCAAGAATGGCATAGGTAAAATGTGTGAACATGTATTTATTTAACCGCATCCCATGGGGTTCAATAAATATACCTGAAATATATTAACTTTCGCATTAATTTCTACTTATAGTTTAAAACATTCGTTAGTTTATTTCTCATAATTCATCTATCATTGAAAAATTCTTTTTTTTTTTTTAAATTATGCAAACCCCTTACCAAATTCGAAAAGGCGCTTAGGCTTCATTCTAAAAGTTGACCTCTAATCGAAACACCACTTCAGCAGAAATTGTTTCTAAATAGTATTGCAAGAAGTAACTAATGCCTTCTGGTAGGGGTTATATTGGAGGGAACCCAGAAACTCCAGTGAGCTTATGTCCTTGTCTTCATGGTAATGCACTACCCCAAACAAGGGACGAATCTCTTGTATATTTATTTTCCCGAATTACTAATAGATACTGAGATACAACGGCCGTACCATACTGAATATACCGGTTCTCGTTAGATCACCGAAGTCAAGCATCATTGGGCGCGGTCAGAACTTGGGTGGGTAATTTGGGAATTGAATGGGGCCGAGTGTCTAGCGCTCTGGCGCTCGGTGCCACAGGTTTCGGGTTCGAATCCCGGCGGTGCCATGGATGTTTGTAGTGGTTCGGAATCCACTTTAAGCCGTAGGTCCCGGTCTCCTATGACTGTAAGAGCGTCACGGAGCCAAAGTCAGGCTTCTACCTACGGGTGCTCCATCACAACAGAAGCTGCTTCCTTCCCCTTCAATCATGAGTACGTATGGGCTCCTGGGCTCCTGGGCTCGGCCAGCCAGGTGGGATAAGAAACAACAACTAATAGATGGATCTAAAGGCTAAGAAAAAGTGTAATGTTCTAAATTTGAATCATTTACATAAAATTTTATATCTAATACAATGAACAATAAAATACTGTACAAATTATTTAAAAAAATAGATTAATTATTTAATGATTTGATTTGAAATTTAAAATGAAACCGAAATTTGCTTTCAAAGATGAGTCATTGAAATTTACAAATAGAAATTAATAAAATGCAAACATTTCATGTTATTAATAAACTATGCCTAACAATATTGCTAACTTATACAGAAGCGATGCTTTATACAGAATATATTGTATGAAATATCGTATACGGAAATAGAAACAATGTTTATATATACACAGAAATATTTATAAACTTATACAAAAACAAAAATATACAGAAACAATGTTATACAGAAATTACATATTATATATAACTTATATATAATATATCGAATATTACAGAATCGGATACAGAAACGTTGTTTCAAAAATAATGAAAAATTACAAAAAATGTTGTAAATTGTCGCAAATTTCCTTACCAATGTGTAAACAATTTCTTGTTTTTAATTATTTAATATTTTATAATCATCATCTGCTCTTAGAATTGTTTGATTTGTCTGATTCTTTACGAAAAGATCTTTCATTCTTTTAAAAATACACCAAATGCTGACCGTTCTAGAAAATGTAGCCAAGCTATCCGTTGGATTCTCTATTGGCTTTCGCCTAACTGCTAAGAATTTTCCATTTGAAAGATGGAAAGATTTCAGAAACTCAGTTTTCCAACCATAAAGAAAAATCCCGATTGCTGCAGTTTAGTTGGGTCTTTGTTCTCGTGGTGAATGAATGTATTTATCGCTATGCTGCGTCTTATTAGCAACTCATCTTCGGATCTTTTTCTATTTATCGTTTAATAATTGGAATGCTAATAATGTTTCTTCCATATTTAAACTATGTTTTTCTTTGTTGAAAAAAAAATTATTTGCACAAAGATATCCAACGAGCCTGAAATTCGTCCCAAAATGTAATATTTATGTTATGAAATGTTACAATATATATAATTTACAATTGTATCCATGCGTTGAAAAAACATGTTTGTCCCAACTATGAAAATCACATCGAAATCTATTTCTTGTAGCTTTACCTAATTCGACTATACAGTTAGTTTCGGTTTGGTTTGTCGCACTACGGTCATTTTGTGCACACTTTATAAAAATTAGACCGGGACCTACAGCGTAACGTGGATTTCGAACCATTCACAATCATTCATGCATCTAGCAGGATTCGAACCTGAAACTTGTGGTACGATGATACATTTAAGATTTATAACTTCAATTGATAAGGATATTAAATATTCCAATGCGACGGTCCATTTGGATGAAATAATAACTTTTGGTAGAATCGCATAATAGGAGTCGTTGGGATTTGGCGCCAAAAATATCTTTTCGCCAACGTGCGCCAAATAATAGGCAACTCTAGCGCGACAGCTCGATTTCTCGAAGAGTTTTGAATAAAAACAAAGAAAAATTCGGAAAATGTTATGAATTTTAAGGAAAAATGTACTTATTCCGGCTAGTGAAATCATTATGAATTAAGAGACTGTAATTTCTCTTTCATAATCACATTCATGCAGATTCCTCGATAAAAACTCTTCCATGGTATTCAGCGCTCATTCAATCTCATCCGCAGGCGAATGCCTACGGAATTCAAATCATACGTTATTCTCATAATATCGCCCAAACTCATTTTTGACTAAGATAACCACAAATTTTAACCAATGGATTTTGAGCTAAGCAATTAAAATTCCCTCTGCATCTCCACCTATTTCTATCAGATTTATCTTTTATAAGCGTTAGAAGCCTATCCTTTCCACAAGTTGGACATGTGACATTCTTAGCAATCCATCCTTCAAACATACACCATGTCATAATTCCAAATCCCGGAAGAAATCTCTGCTGTAGCACCCTGCTTGCAATTTTAAGTAATGCCTGCTAGATTCCCTACTCTCAAAATAAAATTCTTCAATACCAGACATCGCTCATCAGAACACACAAAGAAGAAAAATAAATGCACTTGCATTCAATTCTGGTAAGGAACGTTGTGGCAGCCGTTAATAAAACTTTGTAATTGTTCTAGAACATTCCAACCTTCGAAGAAAACCGCGCAATTGTTCTAAATCAATCGAGCAGAAAAAGTTATCGCCAACTTGTCGCAAAACCAAATTCTCTAAATCCCAAAGGCCCCTATTTTGCGATTTAGCCAATTTTTTTTTTTTATTTATTTTTATTTTTATTTTATCAACACACCGTGATAGAAATTTCTAAGTCCGTTTAAACAATATCAGAATAACAGCAATATTATTTCAATGTGAAAATAAATCAGAACCATAACAGAATCCTCAGTTAGAGAAGAAATTACCATCTTCTGTCAAATACTGAAGTTTAATAATTATTCTTTATTGCAATGTTTATTATTCGATTTTGATATGAAACGCGGGAAGTAATAATATTTCGATAAAATAGTTAACAATAACTATTTTATCAAAATATTATTAATTCCCGAGAATGCATCGAAATGGATAATAAACAAAAATGAAGAATTATTCCTTTAAATCGTTTTTACTTGTTGTTAGAAATCAACAAAATAATTCTTTAAATTCATTATTAATCCTGATGTGATATCAAATAAAGGAAGTAGAAGTGTTTAGATGGGACCCAGTGACAGTAGAATGTAGCTCTGTTTACACCCCTGACCTAAGACCGGAAATATTTTGCACTATATCGAGTAAAGAATTCTTTGTAAACCGCAAGAAATAGGGTTAAAACAAATTTCTTACAAACCACAACTAGCAAATACAAAGAACTGAAATAAAAACTCGTATCTATGAATAGATTTTTTTTTTTTTTTTTTTTTTTTTAATTAAACAAACAATCGCCATTTTTTACATTTTATTAAAAATAAATTTTTCTGTTATGGAAATTTGATAAGAATAAAAAATATTTTGTTATGTAAATCACTTTGTTTATTAAGAATATAATTTAAAAATAAGATTTTTAAATAAAATATTTCTAATATGAAAAAAGCTTTGTAATAAAATTGGCATTTAAATAAATGAATTTCTAAAAAAACAATGAAGGTGGGTGTACCAAATACTCTATAATTTGGTGTGTTTATATTTCTTAAAATTTAAAGTACCCCATTTTGTTAATTTAAAATAATTATTTTTTTATCAGAATCCAATAGAAAAAAAATCGAGTTAGTATTTTTTATAAAAAGGTTAGTTAAATTAGAGATAAGCAAAAAATAAAACTTCTGAAACTTTTATCTGTTTAAAAAATATTTATTGTCATTAGTGTATAAACTTCCTAATATTCATTTGGAAATTTAAAATAACAAGAATATTAAATATACAAATACATAAATTTGAATAAAAAATTTATATACTTAATAATTTGCTTATTTAAATAAAGATATTTTTTTTTTAATTTTTAAGTACTTATTTTAATCACACGTAAGCATTGCAGTACGAGGCAACTCAACACCGTATTTATTTTTTTTAAAAAAATCTAGAATGTTGTATTACGGATTTATAGCGAACTAAATTTGTAAATATTTGCGCAAACGAATTTAAGAGTTATTTTTCTCCAACTTTGGAAATGTTCGTCAAGTTAAAGTAGTAAATTTAGGTAGCTTCTGCTTTTGTGTTCTTCTTTTGAAATTGAACAATTTTTTTTTCAATTGTTACTTTCTTATACTAGCATTGAAAAATATTTTACATTTTAAATTCCATATTCATTTTTTTTATTTTTTTTATTTTGCCATAATAAAACTTAAACATTGGGTTTAACGAATTTCTTAAACAATATGTTTTCACACCCTATCATTGTATATCATTGTGTCAATGTCATTTTACCATTCAATCTTCTTTTTTTTTATGTTTTTTTGATGAATTTCAGTTTTGTAACTGCAGCTTATGCGCACTTCAGATTTTGAATAGTTTTTTTCCTTTTTTTTTCTTTCAGATTTTTGAATGTGAAGTACTTCAGAATCTTTGTATAGCGAATGCTAGTACGATTTTGTTCAACAGTTTGCTTGAAGTGAACAGCGGTAGTAGCTTTTGGCTTGTATGTGTTTCTAAGTCTCTCCTAATTAGTTGTTCGTTGATTCTTGTGTTGTATTCTTTGTATGTATATATATTTATATACAAAGTACCCGGTTTAAAAGCATTCAAAAGTACTGAAAGATTCACACATGATTAGTTATGAAAACTCTATGCCCTCGATAAATGATTTCTACAAGTATTTTATCAGAATTTTATACCACGACACTACATAATATCTACTAGTTAAATACAAATTAGTGGAAAAAAATCAATAAGCGAAACACGCATATACATGAAGAGTTTTGGTATTAAAGGCATCCAAAAGAAATGGTTTATGCTGAGAGAACTACACATACTTTAGTTATGAAAGTACTAAGCCAGGGATAGAGGGTTGATAGAGTTTTTTTTATTAAAATTCCTACCGAGGACGCACACTAATGATATCTATTTTGGGATGATTTCTGCAGCATCCTCTTTTAAGAACTGAATCCGCTGTTGCGATGTTAAGCCGTATGCAACAAGATACAAACACAATTTTTTAATAAGGAGTCCACTTTTCACTTTTGCAGAAAAAAAAATTGAGCCATAACTGCAGTGTTAGGGATAATGTTGAACTTCCCCAGATAAATTAAAAATGAAAGG